AAATAAGGTCTATAATGGAATTAGTAGAGAGCGGTCACCGGTGACCGGTTGGGGATTGCCAGCTATAAATCTAATTAAATATTTACAACTTAATTAAGTAACCAGTAACTGACAATAACAATGATTTAATATTGTATTGTATATTCACTAGACAAGTATTAAAGATCATCAGCTTTTCTATTGATACAAAACACAGACTTGTTGGAGAAGACACAGTTATTTGAAGCGTCAAGTTTACTTACTGTTTTAGTGAACTAAAATGTTAAGGCGGCTGTAAATCTTTTTAGTCTTTATTTTATAAATATAGGGCTAAGTTCCTAAAAGGAACATGTCAGCCGCCATGATCGACTACAAAACTTAAACTACTACAATGAAGAACATAACTGGTATACCAGACATTTAAAAATGTTAATTTGAAAATAATGTGAACTTTGATTGTCTCATTGTGAAATAGATTCTAATGGGGGATGACTATAGTTTGGATCGAACAACCAGCCTTCTTAACCTTCTTGACTGCTGCTTTATGAGACAATAAAAATAGGTAATAATAAACAATATTATGTGCAACAATGTAATATACAATAAATGAGAATCTTGTTAAAAAAAATAAGCATCTGAGTATGACTTACTCAGACACATTTTTAAATAAGATTTTAGTGCAGCGAGTAGCGCATGCTGTGTTGATAGATTTACACCAAATTTTGCTGACAAACAGATAATTTGAATTGCAAGTTCACTGCAATATAACATAAGTCCCTTAAGATTTATTTTCTGAGATCCTTTTTGTTATTCATATCAGAAATTAAATCAAATTAAAATAATTTAAGAACATGTAGAGTAGGAGTAATGTAAAAATATAAAATGACTTTATATAAATTAAACCTTTACCACGTGTCAGAAATGTTTTTAAAAAGTTAGAGAAAAACAGGTCAAGTTATCAGCTGATATTTATTGACGAATATAAAGGTGTAAACAACGGGTTTAGTAGCAAAGCCGAAAAGAAAAGGTATTTGAATTTTCATTTAGTTTATACCTAAATATATTTGTTTGGATTACTACTGAAATGTTTACTGCAAATCAAAAATTATCGTGTACACCAGGGCTGTCCAAACCATGGCCCGCGGGCCGCATGCGGCCCGCGGCTTGTTTGATTGCGGCCCGTAGAACCTTTTTTAACTGACTTCAAAAAAAGTCCGGTTTCCAAAATTAACAAGCAAATTATTTTTCTCGCATCAAAATCGAATGTTTTGGGTATGTTCGATTACGTTGCTCACATCACTATTCACTCGAGAATTCGGGGAATTCCCCGAACGCAAGATACGTGTACCTACTACCGCGCATCGTTCATTGGGCATTTGTTTGTCACTTGTCATTCAACGCGACGAAAGTCTTGATTACGCAAGTTTACTCTCAGGTTAAAGACTTTAACATTATTTTAAAGTTTGTTCGCTTTGTGTTTGCGTATAAAAAACTTTTAACCTCATCATGTCTACAAAGAAGAGGAAGTTAAGTGAAGAAAAACGTTCATTCAATGAGAAATGGGAGTTAGACTACTTTATTTCCAACAATAACAATAAAATTCAGTGTTTGATTTGTATGCAAGTTTTATCTGTAAGTAAAGAATATAATGTTAAGCGACACTATACTTCTTTACATGAAGAAAAGTATAAAAAACATGTCGGTGAAGCAAGAAAAGTTATGGTGGCTGAGTACAAAAAAAAACTAATACAGCAAACAAGTATGTTTTCAAAAGTAAGTACTGAAAATGAACAAAGCTTGGCTGCTTCATATGAAGTTTCATTACAATTAGCCAGAGCTAAAAAACCATTTAGTGATGGAGCTTTAATAAAAAAATGCGCAGTTGAAATGGCTAAACGCTTTATGCAGCCGAAATTAGCGGAAAAGTTTGAATCTGTTGCATTATCTCACCAAACGGTGTCGCGACGAATAGAGGACATGGGTAATTATATTACGAAAAGTTTATGTGATTACTTTGTAGATTGCGAATATTATTCAATATGTTTGGATGAAAGTACCGACCAGACCGATGTCAGTCAATTAATAATCTTCATACGTTGCATTTCCAAAGATTTTACAATCACGGAAGAAATGCTGGATTTAATACCATTTCATGGAACAACTAAAGGCAGTGATATATTTGAAGCAGTTAACAAAACTATTGTAGAATATGGAGGATTTCGTAAGTGTTCTTGTATTGTGACCGACGGGGCAAAAGCTATGACCGGAAAAGTGACAGGATTTGCGGGACTTCTAATACAAAATGGCATTGATTGCCCGTTGTTCCATTGTATCATACACCAAGAAGCCTTGTGTGGAAAATCGTTGCGTCAAATGAATGCTATGAAAGTTGTTATAAGGATAACCAATTTGATTAGAGGTGGAAACAGATCATTGACACATAGAAAATTTAGAGACTTCTTATGTGAAATCGATGCAAACTATGGAGATTTACTATTGCATTCAGAAATCAGATGGCTAAGTGCTGGCCAGTGCTTGCAACGCTTTTTTGCCTTACGAAAAGAAATACCTTTATTTCTAAAAAATGAGATATCGTCTGACACTTCTGAACTACAAGATAAAATGCGAGATCCTCAGTTTCTGGCTGATCTTGCGTTTTTAACTGATATGACGCAACATTTGAATGAGTTAAATTTAAAATTGCAAGGTAAAAACCACAATATAGCCAACCTGTATGGAAATGTGAATGGATTCAGAAATAAACTTAAATTGTTCAAGACGTCTCTACAACAAGATGATTTTTCTTTTTTTCCAAGTTGTAAAGAACATTATTTAGAGATGAAAAATTTTGAAGAATGTAATTTCTTGGACCACCTCAAATACATGGACGAAATAATCGTCGAATTTGAGCGGCGTTTCGCAGATTTTGAAAAAATTGAGAGTGATATAGCACTCTTCACTCAACCATTAACAATCGCAGTTGAGACTGTAAACATTGATTATCAACTGGAACTGTGTGATCTGCAATCAGACCCCTTTTACAAGGGCAGAACAGAAACAGGCATTGATTTTTTTAAACTCCTCGCTGAACGTTTCCCGAAACTGACGAATTTCGGACAAAAAATGGGCTCGATGATGGGCAGTACCTACCTTTGTGAAAGTGCATATTCGACAATGAAGTTTATTAAGTCTAAATACAGGTCTTCATTGACAGATACTTCACTTAAGCATGCACTGCGCCTAGCTACTACTAATATTAATGTTGATATTGACAGAATTGTAAAAGACAAATTAACAAAACAGTAGGTTATCTACCTACTAAATAAAATAACAAATCATTATAAACTGTTTTTTATTTTTACAAATATTTTGCGGCCCACCAATGTATTTAGTATTTTTTATTGGCCCTGGGTCCCATCTAGTTTGGACACCCCTGGTGTACACGAACAATAACAAAACATTGACATAACCTCAAAAAGAAAATAATAATGGTGCTAAAAACTCACCAAACATAATGGGATGGCGTCAACTTATGGATGAAAAAATTCAATAATTTAAAGTAGTTACATACACGGCAACTAAAAAATACATCCAAAAATCAGTTTTGCAAAATAATATTGACATTGACACATCACAGCACAATAAACAACGGTGACAGTTCAAAATACTTCAAAAAGCCATTTTGAAATTAAGAATGTCACTTGACGTGCTATCTCAGTCGTGTGTACGTAAATGGAGTTTAGTGTAAGAGAGAGCGCCTGAACATTCATAGACAAAAGATTCATAGACTCGTTTTAAAATAGTGCTGTAAAAAAGTAATACATCAGTTACTAATAGTAATATAACAGTTTCTTTTTATTATTTATTCGAAATTCAGTGTCACAGGTACTCATTTTATACGAGCAGTCAGTTATTATTTGTCGTAATAAGTTTGTTCAGAAATATATCTTATGATGATGTTTTACTTTCACTCAAATCAAAATGATTTACCTGGATAAAAATGGGTTCCAAACATATTGTTCAATAACCTTGTAATTTACGTAATACTTATTCAAAAAACTATAACTGCAAATAACGAGGAACAATGTCCATTGTTCCTAATGTAACAAAATAATAATGTATCCCTGAATTTCTCTTTCACTTAAATTGCGTACTTCATAAATAATAAAGTAAAATTACTAGTTACATCTATGAAAACATTATTAATTTTATACGCATGCCCATCGTAGAGGTGCATTATATAAAAAAATGCTATTTGGTATCACGCCAACACAAAATGTAACAATGTGTAAATCACTGCATTTACGTTATAATACGTGGGTAGGTTTTTATACACACAAATACGATTTTTATCGCACTTGATATCAATAAGTAATTCAAAGTTTAAAATTTTTATTTTACGTTAAAACTGTATCAAAATAAACGATATTTAATGAGTCTAACGAGAAAAAATAGGAAAAGACTCTAATGGAATGAATACTACTTTTGAAGTGTAGTTTTTACACAAACTAGACTTAAAACGTAATTCCAAACCAATTATTATAAACCAACTCCAAGGACCGGTCTATCGCTTTAAAAATACATATAAATCCGTTCTGTGGCTTAGGCGTAATATTGTAAAAGTCATGCAGTTGAATTTATTATTGTACCTATGATATGCGCATACTCCAAATTATTGAACATGTATACTTTTTATACCTGGACAAAGACAGACGTAAGATGATGTCCAGATACCCACGTCAACGTAGCCTACCTGCTTCCGTTGCCATAATTATTTAGTAGGTTAATAGCTCATATAATGTAGAATGCAGACAAGCTATTAAAAACTACGGCTAGGTGATTACCTGTACACACACCCGGCAGACAACAGGCAGACCCATTATAAATTGAAAGATGACACCCTAACAATTCTTATTAGTAATTATGTAAATGCCGATTACTTTCTCGATACACAAGAAAATGCACTTCTAGTTTTCACTTACCAGGTCGTTGATCGTAACATTTCCGTCACAAATTGATTTTTATATGTGCAGTAGCACAAAAATAGCCTCCCGGGTGTCGCTGCGTACGCGCCGCCAGTAGGAACACCACCGCCGCACGCCCAGCCCGTTCCGCCCTGCACCACAAATATACGGCATATTACGATAACCAAACCCCGTACTACCTGATGTGTTTATAGTGTTATGACCAAGTGATTATGAAAATTATGATGAAAAGTAGAGAGCACGTGAAATTTGAGTGGTACAAGTGATTGGATTTAATCCAAGTGTATTGTGTGTCTTATGTGAACAAGGGCGCCTGCCCTTTGAATTTTGGTAATTTCCATTTCTGTATTTTATGTTTAGGCTGGCTATGGTCATTAACCTCATGCATCTCGTCCGTAGTTTGAGCTGAAAGATTTTCTATATTTGGTCGTAAAATTCACCTTCAGTGACCGACAATCAGCGTCATATCGTATGAATTAAATACCAAATCATTGAAGTTTAGCAAGGTTAAATAAGTTATTTTTAATCGTCAGTAATACATAAGTAGCCAATAGAACACTTACATGCATACTTCTCAAATTATCACACATTTTATAAGAAAACAGTGACAGAAAAATGTCTTTTGAATAAATTCCTCGTGAATGTATCACGAGGCATTTACTGACATGAGAGTTATAAAAAGGCAAAAGTCCAGGTGATTCTAAAAAGCTATTCTATATTCGATTATTGTTATTTGTTAACGAACTCTAAATATTTTTACAATACAAAAGATTCATATTCTCCTTAGGCATTGATAAGAACATCATACTTGAATAATTACCAACTTCCTCTAGTAATAACCAACAATATTGAAAAAGTGTCTTTTCTCTATTTAAAAATTACAAAAACAGCTGTTTCCGTTAAGAAGATTCGGCATGAAATCGATTGTTGAAACTTGAAATGTTTATGAATATCATACAGAATCCACACTGTTGGTGATCGTGAATAAAATCCATGCCAAAATACACATACCTAAGTAATATAATAGTCGAAATATTAGTTTGGTGTTATTAGTGTTAGGCACACATATCCGGTTGGTAATAAGCTTGCATTGCTTACGTATTTCAATCTTAATATAGACAAGTCTTGAACTGCATTAATGCATTACTGAAATAACATTCTAACTTCTACGTCAATTTCAAGTAGAAACTGTTTTATAAATCGTACAGCACCTATTAGACTAATCATTTGTTTTCATAGGGAATCTACCTGCAACGAGTTAGCACGTATCCTAATCATACATACTTACGTATTTTTAAATATTGGGTTTATTACTATTAGTTCTTTCAAATATACATTTCGTCTAACACACGGCATGCATGGCATATCAAGCGTGAAATAAAACTTCGTAAATGATAGTGTTAGGAAGACTAGGTATTATTATAATTATTATTTTGACTTTCTTCATCTTTCTTTAACAGTGTATGGTATAAATAAATGTATTAATATACATGCTACGCGTACGTACGTTAATACATAGATGCGACGTGCATTTCAATCTATCTAACACTAACAGAAACATTACAATTAAGTAGAAATTCAATGTTCACAATATTAATATCTTTTTTTTTGGACAAAATATATTTTAAAAGCAACCACTGTTCATCACAGACACATGTGCTTAGATACTCAGTATTAATACTAAATAGTAATTTAGTCCTTTGATACGAATTATACGAAGCGGTAGGTCTATAGCAGATGTCGCTTTATCATTTTGAATAATAAATACCTCTATATCTGTTAGCAATAAGTATTGAGGTATATAGTTAATGGCTCAGCCTTTGTATTTGTTGATGTTACAGACGTCATATCGAGGGGTAACGGACTATTTGGTTTAAGCGACATTTTGGGCGATATTGAGTCAATTATATATTCGGAATCAGCGCATTTTTCTCTGTCGAATATATATTATAATAACTCAATATCGCCCAAAATGTCGCTTAAACCAAATAGTCCGTTACCCCTCGATATAATAGTTACCTATTTAATTAGAATGTAAATAATTAAACAACCTAAAATGCATAATTAATAACCAATGCTGAGTTGATGCACCTTTCCAATACAATAATGTTGTAAATAACATTCATAACATTTTTTCGAATTTCACGGAGACATCACGCCTAGAATTATTCCGTGTCGGAATATAGGACCCACACAATATTGCGAAGCAGTCACTAACATGTCACTCAGCCATTGTATCAATCATGTTGTCTCAATTAACGGTCTATATTAATAACTTATTTTAATCTAAATTTCTTAATTGACATCGAGCTGTGTGGAGTTTCTGTCTAAGGCAGAAATCGACCTATAAATATTGATTAAGATTTCATCCTTGACTGAATGTCGACTCAGTAGATTTCCGATAAAAAAATGTGCTTAAACCAAAATAAAATCTATGCAAAAATATTACTCGGTTGTATTATTATTGTTTTTCGCGAATATTTTACTCCCTTAACTAATATTGATAAACAAACCCGCTAGACATCATCTAGTACCGGGTCTATTTTTCCGTAACATATACATTACACACCAACTTAAAAATACGCTTATAGTTCAGTATTTTGATAGTTCTACCTGGAATGTTATAAAGATGCAAAATGGAAATCCAAAAGAGCAATTACAAAATTGCCGATTTTCAAAACTCCCGGAAATCTTTCCAGGTAACCCCCATATTTTCCTCCTTAATTATCGGACTATAATCCCTGTCAAAAATACTTAAATATCTTTACCAGTCAATAAGTTAAGTAATTAACAAAAATAGTACATACGTATTCAATTCTCTATTCCTAAAACAATAATGATTTATTTTTTCACAGTCTTCACAATAACTTAAATATCTAGGGGTTCAAAACAACTAGATGCATATTATGAACTCAAAATCAAAGACGCAATGTATGAAAGAACGCCAAAAATACTTATACATGATAAGTATTTAAATACGTAAATCAATTTGATTCGAGAACAATACTGATATATTAAAGAGTACACCCTCGAAACCCATTTGGAATGTTCCGAAACTTCTGTTTTGTATCATGAAACATATACAAACAGTCTGTTCGTACTATGTGTGATTAATAGCAGCTGGATAACTATTATGTGGATATTTTATTACTTGACCTAGTACCGATAAATAACGATTTGTTATTCGATCATTTTAACAATAGATTACAAAGTTAACAGACGCTATGCGTAGGAGCATCGACCATCGTTACGTGTTTTTATTACACGAGATCACAAGAATGATAGGTTTTGTGAAAATGTGATATAAATCAAGCTTCTTTTATATCGATCAATCAATATAAGGAACTTATTTTATCTTAAGTTATTTTGTCTTAATATACTTCGATGTAATTTTTCGAAAATTAATTTATTATTTTTTAGTTTACGTTTTTCGTGTAAAATCATGTAAAATTTTTATTACATTAATTCCAAGAAAAATCATAACTCAAAATGTTTTCATTACATCATAAAATATCTGGTACCTTTATGAGACATGAGGTGACGTCACTGCGTGACGTTGGTGCTCCGTCTGGATCTGGAGTAGACATCAGGTCCTGGCGCTCATCCAAGAGCATTCACTCAACGACTTCACGAGAAATTGGGACGACTTGTAACGCCCATTCGACCCACCGGCAACAGCCATACCCAAATATTTAAATACCTTATAAAACTATGTTTACAAAACTGTTGAAATGTTTATTGCACTTTCCAGATTATAAAAGAATGAATTGCTTGTGGCTTCCAAGATGAATAATGGTTCGAGAAGGGCCCTAACCGGCTCTATTCACAAAATCAGAGAGTTCGAATTGGAAAAAGTAAGATTTATTTCTTGTATACGCATACACACGTTTTATTACGGACATTAAAACTTCAGCACTTTTGCTCAACTGTATTTTTGTTTATTTATAGGTGAGCCTAGTAGAAGAATTTGACATTCTACAAATAGTTGGAGAAGGATGGTTCGGAAAAATTTTGCTTGTGGAACACAGAGCATCAGACACAGAGATTGTCCTAAAAGCCTTACCGAAACCCTACGTGTCCATTAGAGATTTTTACAGAGAGTTTCACTATAGTTTACATTTAAGTGCGCATAGAAATATTGTTACTACATTCGATGTTGCTTTTGAGACGGCAGGATTCTATGTATTTTGCCAAGAATATGCACCTTTAGGTAAGATAAATTAATAATATGTTTAATTATGATGTTGACTATAATAAAATATTCATAATTTATCTCGGAAATCAAAATTTAAACGCTGAGTAATCCAAGCTCGGTTTACTCCAGTCCACACACACTCGAAGTTGGATTGTAGCCAAAACGCGGTGTGATTTGAATGAATATTAAATCTAGCACATTTCCAGTGCCAGCCCTCATTAATGTCAATGTGGTATTGAATACTAGTGCACTGTTTTTTAGCTTAAACCCGTTGTTTCAGAATAAAAATGTACACAAAAACATTTGTAATTTATGTTTTTGCAGGGAAATATTATACTGATAAATTATTTTGAAATCAAATCTAACAAGACGCTTGTTTTGTTTCTCAGGTGACCTTACATCAAATATGCTTGACACTGGAATTGGTGAAATTCATACAAAAAGGGTAGCAAAGCAATTGTCTGCTGCATTAGAGCATCTTCATCAAAGAGACTTAGTACACCGGGATGTAAAACTTGATAACATTCTTATATTCAAATCAGATTTTTCAAGAATAAAACTTTGTGACTTTGGCGAAACGAGAAAAGTTCTATCAGTTGTGAGAAGACGAAACGAATGGTTACCCTATTCACCTCCTGAAGTACTTAGATTGTCCATGGACAGTAGTTACAAGTAAGTAAAAAAATTATTTCATGTCTTTGACTTGTCCTGAAAATCACAGTAGTAGCACGGAGTCTGGAATTGTGTCCGGTATGGCAGTAGGCTCACCCCCTAATACATTGGACTCATCACATAAATAGTGAAAAGTACATTAAGTGCCGTAATGTGCATCTTTTTTTGTTCAACCGATAGTCCTATGGTTAAAGAAAGCTGTATTAAAGATCAAATGCATAAGACTTAAGTAAAAAGTAAAACCAAAAATTCACGTCTAACGTCAAAAACTATTCTAATGAATGATAAACAAACTAAATCCATTTAGTTTCACAAATCAACATCGACAGGAATCTTTGTTTACTTTCGTTACAAATGCGTCGATCTAAAATATGTTTATTTCTTCACTTTCAGAGCTTTAATTACCCATGATATTTGGCAATTTGGCATCGTTATTTTCATTTGCCTCACTGGATGTTTGCCTTGGCAAAAAGCTGCTTTTGATGACCCTCGATACACCAGGTAATATCCAACAACGTCCATTAAATTTGCTTCACATTGAACTACGTACTCGTAGCAATGTTTACAGCATTACTATGCTGTAAAAATTGTTTTAATTGCTACGAATAGGTCACCTTCCAATGTCATTTTCTGATTACAGTTACTACAATTGGTATAGCAGTGCCAATCCATTGAAGCGACCGCCAAAATTATGGAAAATGGTTTCATCGAGGGCACAAAAAATGTTCAAAAAGTTGGTAGAACCAAGAGAAGAGAAAAGGGCCAACAATTTCTTGGAACTTCCTCGATATTTAGATGACAGATGGCTAGGTAAAGGCTACACTGATAGAGTTGGTGAGTCTTTGATTCTATTGTGATAAAGAAATAGATATAAGTACGTAAATCTTGGACTGCACCAACTTCTATCTAACAATTCATTACTTTTAATTTCAGCTGGCGAGGATATTGACGAACTCTGCCCATCAATGTACAGTTTTCACAGTGACCCTAATGAGAAAAACATTTTACTGAAACATTTTAGAGATAATGGAATCGAAACAACTGTTGACCGCCAAGCAAAGAAACAAAGGATCCGCGAATGGATACAAAATAGTGTTATTGAGGAAGTTGACGAAGAGGTTTGTATTGTACATTAAATAAATCTATGAATGAATACGAAATATTGTGTTTAATCATCAGATAGAGATAGAGAGATACGAATTATTTCATGAGTCTGTTTTTTTCCAGGAGGAGCACCTCGAAGCAGCGTTTGAACATAGTGATGAAGAATTAGAACATAGACCAAGAAATCATCCAATTGATGAAAGTCATAGAGTTACTTTACGCTATGATACAGAGAAACATATTAACCCCAGAACTGGCGAAGTTATTGACGGAGTCAAGCATGCGCCGGAAAGAAATCCTTTATCTTATGATGTCCAGAATATAGAAGCAGTTGCACCTGCAAACGTAGTTAGAAGATATGGAATGAAAGAAGAAGGCTCATCGCATAGTTCGACTAAGGACAGTGCTTACGGATCTATGGAAGTGAAAGTAAATAAACCAGTAAAATCATCACATAAAACCGAAAATAAGCAAGTCCCATCAATAGATAGTGTTCAAAATAATTCACCGAGTAGATCTTTAAGCGCCACATCAATAAACCAAAATAGGTCACCATTGACGTCACACGCTCAGAGATTTCAAAGAAGCGAAGAAGTGTATTCAAAAGAATTGGAAAGTTTGAAAGGAAGCACATCTACACTTCATTCTTTAGCTAATTCGTCTAGGTCTAATAGTCTTCAAGTCACTCGAAATGATTCATTTGATGCTCCATCGGTAACAAGTACACAAACACCACCAAAAACAGAAAGTGCGAGTACGCAGAGACCTCACAACCCGGTCGTTACACAAAATGGTTTTAGTCCGGGCACTAAAAATGCTCAGCTGCCTAACAGGGCCTACGTTTCCATGAAAAGTACAGTTTATGATAGCAAAAGTACTCGAAACGATAACAATATATCAGCCGAAAACAATTTACAAAAAAATCAGACTCCTGATAGTCCTTACACTTCAATGATGAACATAGTACAGGGCCAAATGAAAATCAATCCTCACGCAACCGAAACAAATAGAAACACTATTAACGTTTCAGTAGCACAAGTGAACCGTAAAAAATAAATTGCTCAAATAGTGTTATTAATCGGAGATAAACCTTATTATCAGTATGTTCTTGAAATAATTTTGTTGAAAGTGTTGGCTTTCACTTGCTCATGCCTACAAAAGTCAACTTAACTTGAAAATAAACGGCAGTCGTTAAATTTTTATGTACACAGTATGCTGTTTAGACACCTCGTAATAACTTAGCACTTGCCCTTGATAGTGGTTTCAAAATACCTATTGTAAAAAAATATTCTGAGTAAGAATTTTTAATAACATTTACTTAATCAATTTCTACATCTTTTCATTGGCCGCTTTTCATATTACACCCATGTGCATGCCTTACATGTGTCGTGACTATTGCTTTTTTATTTATTTTCTTACTAAACTAATTGTTCCTATTTTTCTGTTTATCTTCTGCTGCTCGTTCCTGCTTCTTCCTGCAACTACTTTAACTTCTGTATAACCAGAATCTACAAAACCTACAAACACCATATTACGGTCCAGGTGTACCAGCCTACACTAATACAGTCGCTTCAGTTGAAACACTGAGCTATTTTGGAACCCACAACGAATTTAATGACTTGACGTAACTATCGTAGGAAACTGTAATTTTGTATTTAGACGAAAATTACGGAACCGCAACTTTAAAGATGAAACTATTCGTAAATGCCTTTAAGGGCTGTGATTATTTGACTTTATAATTGGCCAAGGGCTTACATAACTGATTATGGTGAAGTATAATTTAGTGTTATTATATTAGTTTCCTTTTTAAATAATTTTATTGTGTAATTTTATATTTAAGGTGACCTAAAGTTTGAAATTAGAATAGTATAAAGACAAATAAGTTACTTAATGTTTAGTTTTTATTATAATTATAATCTTTCCAACATGTACAACTGAAAACTGAAATACATTTATTATTTTTAAACACGGTTTTATTTTTGACCCACATCCATTTGCCATACTTATTTTATCCAACTCTTATATAAACAAATTGGGATTCAATTTAAAGATGTACATACGTAGCATAAACCTACTAGTAGTTTGTAATATTTAGAACATAGTTTTGTATTTTTTGAACCAAAGGACCAACATGGAAATAGAATGTTCGTAAAATAACAGTTACCGATAACTCTGTTATTGGTCATGTTAAAATGGTCAAGTATTACATCACTATCATCTGTCAGCTGATAGTTTCTAAAATAAATGTAAAATGTAGAACGAATACAAAAATAATTGTTTATAATCATTGCACTGCTCCATTTTTAAACTATGTATAAAAATGCACATTCAGTCCTTGATTAAGTCAATTAAGTATGTGAACCTAAAAGCGCAATCCACATACCGCGCACGTTTCGCGTGCGTAAATGGCAACACCGAATTCACCGCCATTGGCTTAAACAGCTGTCAATTTTGAAGGTTTCGTATTCTATACCGCCGCGCGCTGATTACTATTCAAGTTTATAATGAAAATTCGTAAACTATTGAAACGTTATAACATCTAGGGTATTTAGGGTAATAATTAGTCGCTAAATTAATGCAACGCATTTCCAAAACTAACATCGTAACATTAAATTGTATCAATAATATGCATCATAACCTCCCAAAATTTTTCGGTTAAAAGTTAAAATATCGTATTAACAATCACGTAAAATGCAAAAGTTACAAGATAGTGTGTTTTCTATAGTTAAGACGACAAATTTGTCGCCTGCAGTGTTCAGTTTTTTGCAACCGACGGAGGATTTCTCAGGTATGTTTGTTTGTGGTGACTTCATATGTATACATAGTCGAATATAATATATGGGTGTTGAGTGGGTGAAAATTACGTATATGATTATACCTACTATAATTACGGTAACTTCACAGATAAGACACCTCTTGGCGGGATTTTGAAGGACACCAAGCATGGCTGGCTGGCTTTGGGTCCAAAATTCTGTGTGGTTGATCTTAGAACTGGGTTGAAAGTAGCAGCGCGAACATTTGGTGCTCCACAGAGGTTTGTATGAAGTCATACTATCTACAAAAACACCTATATGCTAATTAGATTAAGACTAGTTTTGAGTCTACCATACAACGTCAACTCGCCGTAATATATTATTATTATTAATCTTTATTATGCCTAAGGATTAATAATAAGAAAACATTCAATACAATATCCAAATAATAGAAATAACTAGCAATCTACAAACCATGTAAAATAAATAATCTGTTTTTATGCATAAAATATTTCTTTTTTCTTTCAATTGCATATGTTTTGAGTAGTCTAATTGGTTTTTATTCTGTTTTATTCAATTTATACATTTAACATTTTTCTAATTCTAGCAATATCAACACATTTGTAACAAGTGTAGTGGAGCTACCTAGACCATTGACCTCAAACTCCGTACAGCTCATTATCAGCTTGCAATGTGATGAAGCTGGTATGATCTGTGTCCTCCATGTCAACGGCTCACAGATACTTCGCTGCATACAAACCGAAGTCGTTGTCACGGAGTTAGCGGTGTGGGATAGAATACCCGATGGACCACTCACATGTTTTGACGGAGTGGTCATGGCTGGAACGAAGAGTGGAGAGATTTTTGCTTTTGATTTACATAGAGCTGGTTTGATGCAAGGTAATGCTTCTTTAACACAATCTCGAAAGTTATTTAAAAAAAAATTACTTTTGAATCATGACGCGGGTGCTTCGACATCTGTCAAATTCTCGTTCGCTCTCGCTCGCTCATTGCTGCGCGCGAGCGGTGCACGTGCGTGGCACGAACAAAAATGCACGCGCGCAGATGCGGCGTATACGTGGTCGTCGTCCGGTGGTTGCACACTTTGATAAAACACTTCATTCACTTAAAAATAATTCTTGTTCCAGCATTGAAAGACATCTCGCAAGGTTATGAAAACTTAGTTCTGAATGAAACGAATCCAGCCAACCTGAGCTTCTTACAATTCAGTGCAATTCATCGTATTAGAGAACAAAGAGAATTAGCATTAGAAAACTGTGATCACTTAGCTATCCTACTGAATGAAAACTCCTTAGTAGACGGCCAATACATATTCCGTAACCCAGACGGTTCAGTACGAATGAAGGCCAAGAGAGATCATATTCGTGTGACTGTTCTACAGTACATTCCGCAATTGGGCAGTCTAGCAGTCGGTTACAACTTCGGAGCATTCCAGATTTGGAACATTATGACTTTGGATTTGGAATTTACATCGCAAGTCAATGTGGAATGCTTGCCGGTTACACATTTCGGATTTCAGGTACTCCTTTTCTCTGTCTGTACTTTTATATTTGTATAAAATTATAATAAACTAGAGATAAATAATCACATGACCTATTAAGTATGTTGTTTTTCAAGGTTATTTGATTTTTTGGGATAGTAAACATGACATTGTACTTTAAACACCCTTAGTTTTTATGTTAAAATAAGATATTCTTCTCTTTCAGGAGCCCTGTGATGATCCTCGAGCATTTTGCTACCTATGGGTGGTATTCTCAGTGATAGACAGGTTTGAAGAGGAGGAGTTTCCACTGGCTGTGATGTACTCCCTCACTTACCAAGGCAAGAGGATGCTGTCTGACACCAAGTGTCTTTATCAGGTAACTAAATTATACAGGTTTAGTAGGCTTTCGAAGTAACCTGACTAGTTTCAAGCCGTACCAGGACCCTTAATCGTTGACATTACGCTCTTATTGTTATGGACGCAGCAGTCCAGCATCTAGCAATCAAGAGTTTACCAAGATTAATAATTAATTAAGTTTCACAATAGTTATTGATACAAAAACTACAAGAAATCTTTACAAATTTTCAAGCAATGTAATCTTAGAATATTTGGACATGTATAAGTGAATATAAAAAAGGCGTAACTTTGTGTTACTTAATTTGTAGGTAGTCATAATATAACCATTTTATCAAGAACACTAGAACGAGTTTGCACTTTTTCCAATACCAAAAATACTACATTAATTATTATGTGTCTGCCTCACACACGTAACTGTTTCACGAGGAACTGAGTACTAAGCACGAATAACAATCGCAATCGTAACGTGATAGTATCGAGTGCGTTCGGTGCTCTGATTGGCCGGCTCCAGTAAACCAACCAATCAGAGCGTCTAACACGCTCGATACTATTACGTTACGATTGCGACTGTTATTCGTGCTTGGTACTCTGTGAGGAGGTGGTTTTATGTTCATGAGCAAGCAGCATTCATATCCAATAGCAGCGCGACAGTAGTCGCCGCGTCGCGGAATACTTACGAGGAGTTACGAGAATAAGCCGAAAAAAACATCATAATTATTTTGCAAAATACTTGTATTTTGCAAAATAATTATGATGTTTTTTTAAATACTTTTGTTCTAGGAATTTTCCACTGCAACAATAAGATTTCAACTCGAGTTGAGTACAGTTGATGAGTCTGCCTTACTTGGCGGGAAGTGTGTGTCGTGTCATACTTATTCTGTCAACTCTACACTTGCAGCTGAGGGCGAAGACAGTGAGTACAATTTGAAACATTAAAAACCAATATGAACACTATTCAGTTATCGGCTACCAATCGAGTCTTTGTTTATTCTATTAAGATTAAATTTAATATAGCACATTGTCTTCCAACCCTGGTTTTCAGTGCTGTAACAGTACATTTTTGCTTTTGTTTTTGTTTATTTCTTATGTATGTATTCATTTTGTGGTGAGTGCAGTGTTGACTACATTATTTTATAGTGTAAAGGCTGTCAGTTTCACACGCAATTTTTCACTTGCTGTTTTGATAACTGGTGGCGTATTATGACGTCTTAAAGCCAGGGTGGTTCCGCTGGGGGAACGAGATCTCGCTAAACGACTTGTATAGCTCTGTTTCTTTCCCTCAATGGAACCATTCTGAGTTTAGGACGTGATAATAACCCCGCTGTTAGTCTCCCAATGCTGTTAAATAAATAAATAAAAATAAAATCTTCTTTTGGATCACACGACACTAACACTTAACTTTATTTTACTTTTTAAATTACATTCAGACCCTGAACAATAATTTATAGAGGAAATCCACCCTAGTGCACCCACTTGCCTAGTGACTGTGACAGAAATTTTTAATTTATCTTATTGTTTCTCACTTTCAGGTATGCTAAACATTTGTCAGGTTGTGTGGGAGTGTTGGGGCGAGAATGCCAACTCCTCAACTCAGTATGGAATGCTTCTGTTTGATTTAGATCAGTGGTACAAAGATCAAATGCCAGGTAACTCACATTTTATATTGTTTGCCAATCAACACTATAGTTATACATCGATTACCTTATGGAGAACGGCTCAGAGATCAATTTTGCACACTACAATTGTATAAGCACATTACTTTGATCTAGAGAAAAGAGAAGAACTATTTATGTAATATTTTTGTTTTACATGTGAAATAAATAATTGAATTTTAACTGCATACGTAATCAATTAAAGTTCAAATTCCAATACTGATTTTTCAACGTTTTTAATTACACTACAACTTCAGTTTAAAGCCAGACAATAGGCATGGCGACTATTTTTAATTTTTTGTCCGTCTTTTAGATATTTTAAAAATCTTCGATACGTATTTTTTCTTTTTTCTCGTATCCGAAAAAACATGTAGATATTTTGAGTTAAAATGACGCGTGACGTCACACTTAGGTACGATTTGTCCGTAAGTGTGACTTCAACACCCCCCACTCCCTAACTTTAATGCGGAATAACTACGTATTCTTCTGTTAATTTGATAAAACAAAAAATACGTGTCTGATATTTTCGTGCGATCTTAATGACGGACTAATTACTTTTTTAATTTTTTTACCCTGTCGACACGCCTATTGTAATCTTTATACGAATTACATAAAATGTGTTTGTCGGCAGCGACGTGGCGCCTCGAGAGCGCCGCGTTCATGAGCGTGACGTGGTGCGGCGAGCTGTCGGCGGGCGACTGCGTGACGCTGGACGTGCGGCTGGCGCCCGCCTCCGTCGCGGTCTACTCGCACGCCACCAGGCTTGAAGAACATTTCTATCCTAATTCTTTACAGTACAGTGAGTATTTCTTGCGTTCAATTTGAGATTGTAATTAGGCTGTATCTTATATCTTATACTATTATATAAAGTGAAAGAGTTTGTTTTTTTGTTCGTTTGTTTGTTTGAACGCGCTAATCTCCTTAACTACAAGTCTCATTTGAATATTTTTTTTGTGTTGGATAGTGCATTTATCGAGGATGGCTATAGGCTATTAAACATCACGCTACGACTAATAGGAGCTGGGCAGAGTGTGAAACCGCGCGGAAGTAGCTAGTGATTGATATAGTTGCTAATAGCTTGTCATGGCTTATGAAGTCTACTGTTGGACTGATATAAGAGGGATGGGCACAATCTCCATGTTTTGCCTGATGAGTTAGAGATTCGAAGTCTAAAAGATAATGGTAGAAATTTATTCATTTTAATTTGGGTAACCAACAACTATATTACAAATAATAAAAATTCAGGATATGCTAATACAAAGCCTTATTATAGGTTTCCACGGCTAACTACAGTCAGTATATCTTTACACAGGTTTTGTGAATGCAATGCACACAAAAGTAGAAATTCAATAAATTTAAGGTTTAGTCGCCTACGCACCATACAACTGCTCGTAATAAATGGATCGAGTCCTAAATCGTTGCACAATCTATTAAAAGAAAATGTATTCTATTCCGCCGTAGCCACACCGCAACAAATAGTTGAACTAAATCTAATGTCTATGCATCTATCTGATGTAAACATAGTGCACAAACATAACACAAAACAGTCGTTGGAAAAAAGAGATCTAATTTGTATCCAGTCTAATCCAAACCACCCTCTGTCCAGACTGCATCTGCCTGAACACGTCGGAGGCGTGCGTGCTGGGCACGGTGGGCATCCAGCGCCAGATCGTGGCGTCGCTGGACGACGTGGGCCCCACCGCGCTACTCAACCCCACGCGACTCTACAACGCCTGCGTCACTGCGGGCCTGACGCCTCTATACGTACATACTTATTCCACGAATGTTAGCTTGGTAAGTAATCATTATTATTTAAAGTTTTAAAACTCGCTTCTCTGTGTGTCTATCTACATCTAACATGCTAAATGAAAAGCAATCAATGACCATGACTATTGATTGGTCAACACAAATAAATTGCTTTTATTCTAGTCTTCAATTTTGAACCGACTAATCAAACAAAGTTTCATTCAATTTATCGTTAGAAAAATGGAACTTCTAGTCTGTTGGAAAGAATACGACATAATTATTGTTATTGCGAGTTTCTAATTAAAGGGATGCTTAAGTTGTAACAAAGTAATGGTACATTATATCACTTTGCCTTTAAATATTCCATTCATAAATGTTCAAATATTTCTTTAAATATTCAATCCATGGTTTCCGAGTGTGTTAGTAGCATTGAAACAAATACCTAAAAGTATTTCAAAACTTTCAAATTCCGTAACTTTACATTCTGGCTTCTCCAAATCAGGAGGAACAACGTAGATATCTGCTGTCAGTATGCCTAGAAGCCCGTCTGTCCCGCCTCCTGAAGCGCTGCGCCCACGACTGGGCCACCGGCACCCACGCGGGGGCTGGCTGCACGCTGCCCTTCCTTGTAGACTGGAGCTGGAAGCGAGCTATAGAACTAAAGGAGAATGCCAAAGAACTCACGGCTCCTTTATTCTCGTCTTCTGCTTTGCCTGATAGGTAAGACAATAATAAATATTATATTTACTTCTATAAAACAAAACTAATATGAAATTAATTAGTTTGTGCAGCCTTGCCTATTTTACGAGGTTATACGAACAGTTTCAAGCCACGTCAGGGGCCCATAATCTATAAGGAAACCTCATATATAGTATAACTAGCGGCCCGGTACGTGCTTCGCTACGTATAAAGTGAAATAAAATAAACAAATCGGAACATCAAATTCATTTATTTAATCAAAAAAATATTTTATTTAAAATCGAAATCAATTGCTAGCTATTTACAACACACTTAATCCAAAACATTTGGATAAACAATATTTTTTGTTTTTCCATTTTGAGCATAAATAAACAAACGGCTGGGGGTACCGACTCTGGAACAGGCAACATATAACTGGCCATGTGAAAAACAATGTTCCTCCAAATTCACACCACAAACGTGAAGTGTTTGACCTTGGGCCTTGTTGATGGACATCGCAAATGATAAACGCACAGGATATTGTAAACGTTTGAACTCAAAAGGCATATCAGTTGGAATCATAGGTATACGCGGTATCAAAACAACTTCTCCTTTTGATTTACCAGTTAAGATCGTAGCTTCAATCAAATTTGGCAATAACTTTTTCACTGCCAATCTGGTTCCGTTACACAGTTTTGGTGGATTAATATTTCGCAATAATATAATCGAAGAACCAACTTTCAGATTCAAGCAATGCGGTGGCATACCAGCCGGCTCCAATGAATTTAAAAATTCAATTGGATAATTCATTGCCTCATCTTGATTCATAACACTGTCAATTGATTTATATTTCGTGACTACGCCTGGCAGTTTCGCTTGAATTTGAAAATTAATTGCATTGACATGAATGTTTTTCGGTGCTAAAATGGCGCGTTCTGTCAACCAATCATGATTTCTGTAATTCTGAACAATATTCGGAAAAACACATTCAATCAATTCATCTATCGATTGCGCAATTGTACAAAAATTGTTCGGTACAGCGATCAATCCGTTGGTTCTGTCGATTTGTATTTTGCCGTCACCAATTTCTAACAATTGTTTTGAGAACTCATGGGCAGCTGGATCATTTTGTAGGTGAACACGCATATTAATGTTTAGTGTCAATTTTTGTAGATATCTCCAAAGAACTGATGACTTCAAGCAGGCATTTATTTCATCAGCAGGAGTTGATCGAGGAATGACAGGCAATGTTTGACGAAAATCCCCTGAAAGTAATATCAAAGCACCACCAAAAAGCTGTTGATTACCACGTAAATCTTGCATTGTTCGATTGAATGCTTCTAGTGATTTTTTATTCGCCATTGTACACTCATCCCATAAAATAATTGACGTTAATCGCAGAACTTTTGCCATAGCAGAATTTCTCGATATATTGCAAGTTGGAGTTTCAATCACCTGTACATTCAATGGCAATTTTAATGCAGAGTGTGCGGTCCGACCACCTTCTAATAATGTAGCAGCAATTCCCGAAGATGCAAGTGCTAGTGCAATTTTCTGATCTGATCGAATAGTCGCTAAAATCAATGATATAACGAACGTTTTACCTGTGCCACCAGGTGCATCCAAAAAATATAATCCACCTGCATTATTGGAAACGGCTTGCATGATTGTATCATATACATGTTTTTGCTGAATATTTAATTTGGTTATATTCGATTGTACAAATAAACGCAAATCATTACAGTTGAATTCCTGCTCACGTTGCAATTCACGATCAAACAAATCATGCATGGGACGATTTGGTGCGGTCATACCCAATTGTACTAATGCTTTATTTGCAATCGTTAGACATATATCTTCAATTATTATCAAAGCTTCGTTGCACATTTCCAAGGTAATCAACAAATCAGGATTTCTTGCATGATGACGCATACGAATTAAAATATCTTCTGCCATATAATTTTTATATTTGTTCCATAATTCAAGTGGATTTGATGGCATACATGTCGATAATATAATGGCAAATAGCATTCGTATTTGTTGTGGATGAGCTGACGTAGATGCATCATTAAGTGTTGAATCCCAATGTGCATCACTGCCACATCATTTGCATTACGCGTTCGCCGACCTATATTTGCTCGTCTGGCTGGTGGCATTTTTCCCGTATGCACATATGTTTTCGCTTAAAAATCGAAAAAAAAAATTAGAACAAAAAAAAAACAAATTCCCAAGAAGCTGTCGCATATGATGCTATGTGAAATCATATACGGCAACTTAGAAAAGTACACATAAATTCAGGACTCACCGTTTGTATGAATGCACTGCAAATGCAATTATGTGAAAAGAAATTTATCGCTGATAATATGCTTTAATCAAACCACGTCCAAAATGAACTGACGGCATGAATGACATAACAACGTGCTTGTCCTGTCAACAAAACTTCAAAAAAGTTTCTGTGAAAAAAGTTTCTATTGAATTCATTTATTACAAAAAATGTGACAAATGAGGAACCGCTCGACCGATTTTGTGCAAACTTCACATAAACCATCTACTAAATATGCCGAGCAAATCCTAAGCATTTGGTTTGGATAGGTGAGCCCGTTCTTGAGTTATGGAATTACAACGAAAAGTGGCATTGATTTTTATATATATAGATATAATACATAATATTACATGATAATATGTACATTTCTGTGGTTTAATGTAGTTTATGTATGAAAATTTTGTAATATACTTATATTATTCGGTCCCTGGAAACTATTACAGTTTGTACCATGTATACGTTACTATATATTTAAATATTTTAGGAACGTAGTACGTTGCCTCGAGCACTGCGTACAACAACTGACACAGCTGACTGGTCTACTGGATGCCGTGCTCACCAAGTGCTGCAATCTTATTATACCTGATGGTAAGTCATTAATTGTTTACTAAACTTGGTCATTAATTTTAAAAGAATCTTCTTTCTTCTTACATTGTTTACTAGTTGCAAGCTCTAGTAAAAATTTGATGCTAAATACAGAATTGAGAGTTATTGAGTTTGTTGGAAAAAAAGATTGGCTATGGCAACCTTATTGCTAATAAGGTCTTTAAATTTCATCGCCGTTATGAATTAATTCTATTGTAAGACTAGCTTCTGCCCGCGACCTCGTACGCGCAATCCCGTTTTCTCCCGTTCCCGTAGGATTATCAGAATTTTTCTCTGTCTTAAGAAACTCCTCTTAATAATAACAAATACAACAAAAAAGAATTAGTGAAATCGGTCAGGCCAATCACGCGTGATGCCGTGACCAATGGAAAAAGGGATTTATTTTTATATATTCATATATACTATAAATTCGTTCTACATTATACAATTCGAATCTGTCTGTCATTATTAAATTTGATATTTTGCCAGAATTCAATGAACAACTTAAAACCACTCCAAAAACTAACATTTTTTTTGTTTTCCAGCGTTGAGTGAAATAGAAGAGAAGTACAAAGGAATAGGAACTGTATCTCTATACTTCCAAGTAGTACAATGGTTCCTACGCGTCGGATTGTTGCCTGAGCGACATGACGCATTCAACGCTTTACCTTATCCTGCACCGCAGTTGTATTCAATCTATAATAAAAGGTAAGAATACTCTGTAATGCAGAAGGATAACTAAAAATATTATAATGTTAACAAGCACTTGCGCAAGTAACACATTAGATTAAAAAAAAACAGAATATAATAAACGATACTGAAGTTAGCATGCGCTAAGAATATTAGCGCTACACTCTTTTGCGCAAAATTAGCGCAATGCCATTTGCGCAAACTCTGAAGTTGTTTGCGCAAGCTTCCTTGTTTATTTCACAATTAAATGCAAAACACATTGATTCTTTTTTACAGGCGTCTGAAACTGAATCGTTTGCAAGACAACGCGCCTACAGATGAGAATGAAGCCAATAAGCCATGTTCTCTTTTATACATTGACCAGCTCATTGAACAAGAGTTTGGTGGGGAGAGGACGCATCAGTAAGTACCTTTTTTTTATGTATTTTGTGTATGTTTGAATAGATATGTTCATCATGTTTTTTTTTAATGTTGCCCCGTACTAGAATTTTCTACCGTGTCGTGGGTGTGTTTACAAACATACAAGTTCACATACACGTGACACCTAGACCCGAAACAAAAATTTGTGGATTACACAAGGAGTTGCTCCATGCGGGAATCGAATCCGCTGCACATTGCGCGGCAGCCGGTTGCTCAGCCACCGCGTTAACTGTACAGTCAGTTATGATAACGGTTGGAAAAACATAACAAACGGTTGGAAAAACATAACAACATCACGCCTTTTATCCCCGAAGGGGTAGGCAGAGGTGTACATTATGCCACTGTACAATGTGGCATCCACTTTTCACTATTTATGTTATGAGTGCCATGTAATAGGGGGTGAGCGTATTGCCATATACCGGACACAATTCCAAACTCCGTGCCACTACTGCGAATTTTTAAAAAATCTAGTAACACTTTAAGTACTAGTGATTATACACCGTGATATTTTAATGGTTGTTTTCCCACAGTAAAATGATTCTATTTTAGTAGTACAATAGATTGAGAAAGTTGTTTTTAATTTAAATAAAAAAATAGCAGTTTTACGATAGTGATACACGAAACTTGAAAGAAACCGCTAACCAATAGTACCGCCGCGACCGGCCACCGGCCGCTGTCATTGTCGCTCGCGCTTATCAAAAGGCTGATAACTCAGTATTTACTAACAAGTGATTTCCATTTTCCCTTCATACTTTAACGGGCTTAGGACCGTCGTAAATACTTTTTAACTACACTTACTAAACACAAACATAAAACAAAATTTAATCAAGAGATATTATCTTGTTTATTACTGAATTTGGGAAAGTATTTATGGCGTATTTAAAAAATGGGAATCAACGTATTTACAATGATTTTAATCACCTATCTTATTGTTTTATTTACAAATGTACAAGTACTTACACTTCCCGGTAACGGAGCAATTGTTCAAAGTGTAAGCCACCGCGTTCCACACACAATCGTGCACGTTTTAACTGATTGGCTTTCAATTTTAATAATGTGTCTCTGTCACGTCTAATCACATCAAAAGCGTCCACTATCGCACTTTTTAACGCGTCGCGAGTTTCGTACTCTTGCCGATACACAAGGCGTTTGAGATTAGACCACAAATAAAAGTCTAGTGGAGTAAGATCCGGGCTTCGTGGTGGCCATGGCACTGGCCCGCCACGACCGATCCAACGCTGGGGAAACACCGAGTCGAGGTGCTCTCGCACGGCGCGCTGATAATGCGCAGGGCAACCATCGTGCTGGTAATACAGGCCATCCATGGGCACTGCTAACGGAATGTCATCTAGTAAGTCCGGGATAACACTACGTAGCATTTGTAGGTACGTTTCACCGGTTAAGTGTCCTGTCACAAAATGCGGACCAATTAAGCAGCCGTTTATTATACCGGCCCACACGTTTACACTAAACCGCACTTGATGCGCACATTCCCGAATAACGTGTGGGTTATTAAAAGCCCAAAAATCATAATTCGCCCTCGCGTACAATTGCACCATAGCTACGTAATCCACATTAGAAAAAACGTAATGGCGATCCATTTTGGCGGCAATAATATTGTACTGCGCTTGCGTGGTTGCGCGGACGGCGTTCGCGGTGCGACTGGTGTGAATGAAAGCGGTGCGAGGCGATGCGGGCCGATGCGAGTGACAGAGAGCGCGGTGGTTGCCTTTGTTGTTTGTCGTGAGGCGATCCGCTCGCGCGCGCGTGCATTGCAGTTTATGCTGTATTACTTAGTCCGAGAGATTATTTTACTATGAACATTAATTTGACGTCACATTTTAGAAGAGAAACTATCGTTTCTCATGCTTTCGAGTTGATGATTATTTTTTTGAGTATATGAGGAGAAAAAAAAATATTTTTTCAAAAAGTAACTTGCATTATTCGATAGTACTACTAAAGGGAAATCGTTCTGCTGCGGGAAAACAACCATCAATATGTCAGCGTGTATAACAATGTTTACTACTATTACCTAACCTCGCCTGAAACACAGGATTTCCTAGTTCAGGCACCTTATATTGTGAACTTTATTTAACTTTAAGCAAAGCTGTATATTTCTAGACTATTATGTTTGAAAATAAATTTTATTTATTATTATTATTATTACTTTGCCCGACCCGGGAATCAAACCCGAGACCCAGACAACGATATATACAAGAGCATACATTCTACAGTGACATTAAGTGCCGTAATATGCACCTCTGCCTATCCCTTCGATAGATAGAGGATAAAAGGCGTGATGTTATGTAATGAGTTATATTTTCTCAGACACCAATGAACGCAAACTCTGCCTAAACAACATACTCCAGTAACATTAAGTTTCAGAATAAAGTATAATCGCATTTTTACCAGGTTATGGATGAAAGGCGGCAGTCAATGCAACGGCCTCTACCCGCCTCCATCTCTGTACTCTCTACTCCGTCTCTACTTACTGCCGGATATCGCGGAGGAACACAAACATTCTCTAGTGCTATATCTGCTTGTGGACTATTCTATGGTGTACGATGAAGTTAGGTAAGTGGCTCGAGTCAAGTTATTAAAGTAAGTGTTGTGATAAAAAAGTATTAATGCTACCGGAAGGGTCTATCCTCAACTCCAGTCGCGGAGAACCTAACGGGTAACCGGGGCTCCGGCTCGACGTGCAGGAGAAGGAACGGGGTGGTTTTTAGTCAGTAAGAGAGTCTGACACTCCCTCCCGCTTCACCCAGGCGGGAGCAGTCATTCGATGATTTTCCCCCCTTAAAAAAAAAAAATCCTTAACTCCAACGTCTCAAAAGGCTGACAACGCACTTATAAGTCTAATTTTTCGAGTGTGCCTAGGCTGTGATGATAGCCTAGCATCAGGTGATCCATGTACTTTCAATAAAAAATCTTATTTGACTACCAGTTGTAATGTTGAATGAAAACTACCATCGATAAATACCAATCGAAATCTATAAATTCATTATTATTCTATATCTCAATTAGTCTGTCTTAATTGAGTACTTTTCTTTAATCAAAAATAAATTATTTCAACTGTTTAATACAATCAATCCCACTTTCATTAATTGATTTTATGACCAACTTAATTTTAGTATTTTTCCAGCAATTTTTTAAGATATAAGTGTACTGTTTGACGCAAAAAAGAAATGTGACGTCACAATACACAATCTCGTACAAAATTCATAGAAAACTGTTGTTTTTATAGTTCGAAAAAAGTATTGAATTTGACTAGTTGGCAAGCATTGTACTGATGTACTTTGATTTAAGGTTTGATAATCTTTCTATCTCTTTGCTTAAGTTATTTATGAACCAATTTTGTTTCAACAGGTATGAGGCTGTGATCCGTAGACTGATGCAGTTCCCCACAATGTTTGGTCTCAGTAACACGGCTATAAAGGCTACCCAGGCCTTCTGGCATCTAGACCACAGGGACTTTGACGTAAGTTATACCGTACCTAGAAAATAACATAGAAGATGAATACGTATACGAATGGAGTTTCTTGCTCGTTCTTCTCCACTCGAATCGACATTTTGGAACGAGCGCCTAGCTTCACTGACGGACAGACTGACAGACTATTATATATTTCATATTTGTTGACGTTTCAAAAGTACCAAATTATGGTTTAATTGAAATAAATGCTTTTGAGTTTGATTTTGAAAGAAAAGAAAATACTTTTATTTATTTGATCCTGAAATCTGTATACCTTGTTACAACAGATATAAACATTTAAAAAATCTTGCTTTCAGTAAATAATTCTAACTAATTAGTATTCTTTTGTTATCATGATTTCTTTTGGTATCACATATTTACTTGAATTACTGCTAGCGACCCGCCCCGGCTTCGTACGGGTGCAATATGTATGTATTATACATATAAACCTTCCTTAAGAATAACAGATGTTAAAAAAAAATCTGCATCAAAATCCGTTTCGTAGTTTTAAAGATCTAAGCATACATAGGGACAGACAGATGGCGGATAGCTACTTTGTTTTATACTATGTAGTGATAAACGTTACATTATCCAAAAAAATTCTTTTTCTCCTCTTATAATATTGATTCACTTCGTTGCGGGAACCAAGACAGTTACTCATGTCCCTGGGACGCGCCGGACTTCAGTGTTCTGGTGGCCTGGTTACAGGAGTTGCAGCGGTTTTGGGAGGTTGTGGCGGGCTTGTCCCAATAAAAAAAATAGCCAAAAAAATACATTGCCATAGAAATATCAGACAAAAATCTTCAAAACTTACAATAGCTTTAAGCAATCTAATTTTCCTTCTTTTTCCACAGTTCGCCCTAGACCAACTCCAATGTCTAACAGGCAACACTCTCTCAGACTGGCAACACAACGTAGTACTATCAACATTGCTAGCACAGAAAAAGACTCAGGCAGCGCTTCAATACCTTCATGTTAGGAAGCCAGCACCAATCCAGAACATTCGCGATAGAGATGGAGATATAGCGACCTGCTCTATTAGAGTCAACGACCATGATAAATTAGAAGATTGGCAGTCTTGTTGCAATCTTTACTTGGCAAGAGGTCTTGTGTTTGAAGCTCTCGATGTGATTAGAATGTGTGTCATGAATGCGGGCTGTGTTGAAGATAAAGTCACTGTTATGCAGTATTTTTTCAAAGGTTAGTTTTTGTTACCTTGTTTGTCAGATTATTGCTTTCGCTAGAATATATGACGATATAGCTCAGAATTTATGAGTCCATAATATTGGAGCACTATTCAAGATAACGTAAGCAAAAATACAGATGCAAAAATTAAGAATTGTAGCAGCAAGAGTAAAAAGACTGGTACAAGGTGTACTTTTTCGTGGATAACACATAAGTCGTAATTTAAAAACTATGACTTTTTTTATGGCACAAGCCGGCCAAAAAAGCAGACGGATCACCTGATGGTAAGCAATCGGCGTCGCCCATGGACACCTGGAACACCAGAGGCTTTACAAGTGCTTTACCGGCGGCGGCTTTTTGGGGATCAGGAGTTTGAGGATCGTTGGGGATTCCGGGATTGGGGAGATTGGGGAAGGGTAGGGTAGTTGGGCCTCCGGTAACCTCACTCACACGACGAGACACAACGCAAGCGTTGCTTCACGTCGGTTTTCTGTGAGAACGTGGTATCACGCCGGTCGAGCCGGCCCATTCGTGCCGAAGCATGGCTCTCCCACACTTAAAAAAATTGACTTAGAATTCTTTTATATTTATCTGATAACTATTGGAACCTTGCCGATCACCGGGTACCATTTAATCGTCAGGGATACCTGGGCCTCAAGCCAAAAACCACTTTAGCGCTTGTCTACAGAGAGAGTAGAAATCAAAATGTATGGGGATGACACTGACACGTGTCAAAATTTACGTCAATTCCGTATAATTTGGTTTTCTATTCTACATGTAGACAAGCGCTAAATGGCATTTGGCTACAGCTGCTTGTATAGTCCGACACGACAAGCGATAAGAGTAGTGGTTTTTCTCGTCCAATGATATCTTCAGATTTATTTTATTGTAAGATCCAAAACAATTTTTGTCCCTGGGACGCGGCGGACTTCATTGTCTTAGTTTTTCATAGTTGTATCTACTGTAATCTATGATCCAAACTTATATTTGTAGCGACACCGATTAACTGATATTTCTATTAATAAAAAATAACATAAGTCGTTACTTGTTAGCTTTTTTAAACTAAGCTTTTGACAAACAACTCTCAGTCAATAAACATAAGGTACATTTTCACAGGTTGTAGAAACACAGGGAATTTGTCGAAGATACTGCAAGTGACGATGTCGCCGTTCGAAGAGGAGATGTTTGTGAAGTATTTGGAGGATTGCAATGAGCCTCATACATCTGATATACTTGTCATGTATTACTTGCAACAGTCGAGGTGAGTGGGATTGTATTAGATATTATAAAATGAACTTTAATGTGTAAGTGGGTAGGTGCATCTTAGTCAGAAATCTGAAATCTTGTAATTAGTCATACATAACTTCACGCCTGTCTCCCATGGGGGTAGGCAGAGACTATGGGACACCAATTATTACAATTCCTACATATCTGTTTTGCTTCATCAAATAGTTATCAATCTTTTAATGCATGCTCGTTGACTAAGGGTACTCTTAACATAAGATATTGCTTACCTTAGTAAAATTTCCATGGACGGAGTAGATATATTTTCTTCTATGTATTATGAAAAAGGCTATGGATGGGCTTGACACAATTCTTGAAATTTAGTGTCTTTATAAAGTGTAAAAAGGATATCTGTTAATATGACCAAAGGTGCCGCTAGCTCCAACTGCCAAGAACCAAAGTTCTACCCTAGAAGTGTTTGTAACAGATACCTAGAAGCCGAGCGGTACAACAACAAGCTGAAGCAGGGCCGGGCCCGCGAGGTGTCCCGGTCGGCCGAGTCTCTGCTGGAGCTGTGTGAGCGCGACGGGGCGCGCGACGCGCTGGTGCACGTGGCGCGCGCCGCGCTGCCCGCCATCTCCGCCACCGTCGCGCACTACGCACTCCACTCCGCCGACGTCGAGCCGCACGGTCAGACTATTCATTATATCATTTACTTGGCCTATTTATATGTACGAAATATACAGTCTACAGTTTCATTTAACATCTTTTTAATTCTATCTTGTATTTTGGAACTTATTTCACAAATGTCTTTTCACATTATAAATTCAGATATTCTGAGTTTTTTCTACTAGGTATTCTACATTATCCAATATTTTAAATGTTACAAGACTTCTAAGCAATAAAACAGTTTACTGAATTTGTTATTATCGAACTTTGCGCTCCGCAATACGTTTAGGAATTTTGAACAACAACCTTATTATTTTTATATTAGATATCTATTAGTTTTAGTTTCTTGTATTAGTTAATAAATCATCAACAAAAATAAAACTTACGTTTGACAACACGTACGAATAACATGTTCGATTTTCAGTGATCGCACCAAAACCAATGTCGGTATTCGTAAAGGCGAAATCACCGAAAAATACGTTCACATACAAATCATCATTCATACAGGTGAGTCTTTAGTAATGCCTAATTATTTGCTCTTAACTGTAAAAAGATTTTTTATAGATATGTAAATTGAACAACTACACACTGAGCTAAACAAAACCAATTTATCGTGGTCTTGCCTTGTATGACCTTTACGCACACACCACGGTCAATTTACACTGGTTTTGCATAGCTTGATGTGTGCGTACAATATTGTTTGAACAAAAATAGTGTATGAAGTAATACCGCAAATGTCAGAAGTGCAATGACCTGAGCATGCGTTAATCGGTAATCTACTTGAAGATTATAACGTCATTTCTTAATCTCCTGGTAGTGGGTATATAAAAATCGCGATGTGTATTTTGATTATGGAGCTAATTGCATGTGTAATTTTATTTAACGAGTGAAATTTTCGAGAATGTTGCTTGCCTATATACGAGCAGACGGATCACCTGATGGTAAGCAATCCTCGCCGGCCATGAAGACTCAAAACACCACAAGTACGGTAAGGTCTTTTTAGGTATTAGGAATTTAATGATTATTGGGGATTCGGGGATTGGAGAGATGATAATTGAGCCCCCGGTAACCTCACCCACGACAAGTGAAACAACGCTTGCGTTGTTTCTGTGAGGCCGTGGTATCACTCCAGTCGAGCCGAACCATTCGTGCCGAAGCATTTTAAATCTTTTTATCTAAAAATCGCATTTTCCGATATATAATTAAATTAGTGCGTGCTCCAAATTGAAATTTAGATTAGTAGGAGAATCACGCGCGGTTGTCGACGATCGCGCGTGATACTCCTAAATCAATGTATTGTGTGTTCCGAATTCGTCTAATAACCACCTAAATATTTGCTCTAGGTATATTATAGTGATATTCATAAATAAAACTTCAACACCATAACATTTTTCAAAAGAATTTACAATCTGTAGATGAGCTATAAAAACATGGCGTGACGTCAAAACCATCAAACGATGGCTTTCATAAAAATAACTAGATCTAGACATACGTTTTATTTTTAAACTTTTACGTGAACAATGAACTCTTTATTGTAATCTAGATATTTATAACTAACTTTCCGCTTTGCCCGCATAGAATCTATAAGATTTTCTATCGGTTACGTTTCAATCCATACGAATATAATGTAACCTATATTACTATGTAATACGTAAGCGTTTCAACGATAAAAAAACACTAGTAGTTTCGGAGTCCATTGGTCGCAGGACTTATGATTAACCTACCTAGTAGGTAGGATAATCATATCAAGGACAATCTAAAACAAATTCGAACATTGAATGGATTTTTTCAAATTCGAACCAGTCGTTCCACAGATTACCGCATTTAACTAAACAAACAAATTCTTTACATCTATAATATTAAATATTAGCTTTATAGTTCATAGTGCCAAGCACGAATAACTATAGCATTCGTAACGTAATCGTATTGAGCGCGTTCGGGGCTCTGATTGGCCGGCTCTAGTGAACCAACCAATCAGCGTTCGATATAACGTTATTCGGGCTTTTCACTCAGATGTTCTGATATTTTTTTTTTAGGATACCATAGAGAATGCTAGCGAGACGTGGGTAAATAAGCCTAAGATGCGCAGGGGCATTAAACGCGCGCTCAATATTGAAGAGACGCCTTTTATTTGCACGCCGAAGTTGAATAGGACTAGAAGGTATGTACATTTTATTATTTTTAAAACGATTTTATAATGTAAAATTATAAAATCGTTCGAAATCGTATTATCATGATGTTTCGTATGTAGTACATTGTATGTTAGAGTAATCACCGTTTTGAAAGAAAAATAATTATTATTAGTTTAATTTTTTTTTTTGGTTGTTCATAAAGACGGATATATTGTTTCGGGCACAGGTTCGCATTCTGTACCTACTTATGTATATTTTGTATTTCTCAGTCAAGTCAATGTAAATTGTTTTTGAGAAATAAAATGTCTTAAACCGTAACCGTAAACCGTTAATAAGAGATACAATCAATTTTGATTCGTTTGCTAATAAACATAACATAACATCACGCCTTTTATCCCTGAAGGGGTAGACATTACGGCAGTTAATGCTACTGTACAATGTAACACCCACTTTTCACTATTTATGTTACGAGTCCCATGTATTAGGGGGTGATCGTATTGCCATCTGCCTATGTGCCAGACTCCGTGATACCACTGAGATTATGTTTTTAAAACCCATTGGTACTTTGCCCGACCCGGGAATCGAACCCGAGACCCTTTGGTAGTCGCACTTCCAATCACTCGGCCAACGATGCAATCAAATTTTTACTTAGCGCCTGACCTTAATATCGGAACAACCAATGAACTAGATAGTTCATTGGTGTTGGCAGTTGTTTGCTAATATTGAATGAAATTGAAGCAAAATTTAAATAAATTTATATCTTATTTGCGTGGAAAGATTGGGTTCATTCAGTTGTTTGTAATTTCAGTGAATCGTTGTTAACCTATCTTTTATGTCTTAAATTTCGTTCAACTGCTCTCAATGTCATTTGTCTGTGCATAATAATAACATGTTATAGTATACCGCATAACCAATTGTTTTTGAAACTGAAATAAGACAAAAGATGTGATTTTTCGTCATCACTTTTGCACAGCAAATATTTTTGTAGTTTAAACATCTATGTGGTCATAGCAACACTCGTGAATACCACGATTTTTTTACTCCAAAGAGGTCGACAGGAGCTTGTTATTTTAAATGTGGGGCGATGGGGGGGGTAAGTTTAACTCATTATATACCATTACGCCTTTTCTGCACAGAGGTAGAAAACGTAATGTAGCACCCAGTTATTTTATACCTCAGACGGTGGCAATAAATGCATTTTTCGCTATGTATGAGTCTGATGAGTCAAAGCATTTATTTCAATTAATAATAACACAGAAAATAGAATCTGAACGATCTGTGTAAGATCGTGTATGGCAATCGACTAGCCTCTCAAAAATGGAGTTTCTTGCTCGTTCTTCTCCATTAGAAACTACATTTTGGAACGAGCACCTAGCTTCTCAGATAAACAGATGGACGGACAATTCAAATTTTTGACGTTTCGAAATTGCCTAACTAAGGATTTAAAAATAAAAATGCCAATGTGAAATGTGAGAGTCTACCCCTCCGGGAATAAAAGGCGTGAAGTTATATTAAGTTTATTAAAATTAAATTAATACAATTAAAACTATAAAACGTCGCCCAAAACGAAAATCGGACCCGATGACCCTTGTTCGGCGTCGAGTTGTGGTTGTTCATTCAGCATTAACCTCTTGAGTGCCGGTAGATGAGACACAATAGACAATACAATGTTTCTTTTTTTATGATTATAATAACTATCGTGAGCCATACTACTCACGTGATACTTAGAAAAGCTGGACTACTCCACTAGACCGCGCACGCTGCTCTCATGAGGAAGAACCGCCTCTGAAGTTCGAAAATAGTAGAACTTTTCTCAGTATACTTACGTGAGTAACCCGCGATTTTTAGTTAGTACATTGTTTCTCGCGTAGATATACGTTCCGGATACCACGGGTCAATAACCCACATTCTTAATTTATTTGCAGCATTTTAGCAACAGAACAGAAAGCCTCAGAATCCACGCCTCCAAAGCGAGCCAGGTTAGACCTGTCAGGGACCCCGAGGACTCCCAAGATGGGATCATTCCGTGTGAGTGAGAAGCTCAGTAGTCAGATGGCGACACTCCTGGACATGCCCGATGTACAGAGTCCTGAATGCAAGCTGTATACTGAGAGGGCTGGTACTCCACATAGCATATTGAAGGTAGGTTTTTGAGTTGATATGGATGAAGTAATTGTCTTTTTAAGTTATTTTTGAGATAGACTTAGTTTTTTTTTTTATTTTAAGGTGCTATGTTTGAAAAGTACAGTTTAATTCAGTAGATTAATTAGTTACATATCACCACAATGAGTTGGTTTTATATGTCCTTTTAAAGTTTTGAGCTTATATATAAAATCCATAACTTTATGCATTTTTTTTTAACTAAAGTTACTTCTACGTTTACATAATATTCGTTTCATATCAGCATATAATAGGTTGTGCTCGCGTGTGATTAATGTTGACAATTTCGTTCTGAAGAACCACACACTTCATTTATCTCACGTGTCTCGTGTATATGACATCATTTTTGTGTAGTAAGTACGCTATATGAGAATCTACTTTATAACCTCTAGCTTTGAATTCATTTTACTTGTAGACAAGACGTACAGATGACATGGACCGCGAGGCCCCGTCGCCGGTGGACTCCCGCTACTTGGGCGACAGCGACGACGAGTTACTGGAGACTGCCAGCAACCACACACACTACAGTGATTCCACTAACAAGTACGTATACTGTGCATAATGTTAATACACTTATTTCAAGACTCGTGTATTTTCGAGAATGCTCGATTACTTTCGAGGTTTACCGGGGCCTTTGTTTATAGTTTGCGTTGCGCAACCTGCAGAAACCAAGCAAATAATATTATTGTAATATATTTAGGATTCTTAAATAGTTATTTCTAATCATATGACTGCGTTGTCATAGGTTTTGTAGTAGAATTTCAAGTAGGCAACCTACTTTAAAGTGTTACTTTTGATAACATTATCTTCAAATTAATTATGCGTATCACTCAGTTTCTAGGACACCGTGCAAAGGTACACAGTTAAAAACTAAACTGAAAAACAATCGAACGTGACGTTAATCTAATCACAGAAAAATCACCTATATTTGCATTGTCGATAAAGGCTATATTCCCTTGTGTTTCTAGGCATCTTCGCTTCACGATTCCTACTGCATCGGAGTCTGGATCGACGCCGTCACCGCCGACTAACACACAACCTCAACAGCGAGAGAAAGAGATGGAGAACTCCACTTTAACAAGAGAGAAAGAGATAGAGAACGCCACTTTAACGAGAGAGAAAGAGATAGAGAACTCTACGTTAACGAGAGAGAAAGAGATGGATGTATCTATTGACAGCTTTGTTACCACTACGTCTCATGCTATGGTGAGTTTTTTATTCATAATCGACTCCTCAGATAGAAAAAAAAGGATGAAAATCCGTATATTGCGCAGTAGCGCTGAAGATTCAACAGATGACGTCATAAAACCCTACGTCGCACAAATGAAATTTACAAGCGAACACATTGAAAATTACAATGTACAATTGTTGGGCAGTAGCCCACCAGGCACGATCACCTCGCCTGGTCTTAAGGAGTCTTAGGAAGCTCAACTTTGTTCCCTAAAGTATGATAGGTAGGAGAATAAAACATAAACACTAGTATAAAAACAGAAGTTTAGAATGCGCCGCAGCGTAAAAACCATAAGAAGGATCGCTATAATCGCCAAGCTTGTCAGACGGGTTGGAGATCATATCGGTTGTAAATCAGTCGTAAGACTGGAAGGCGTTAATTATTATCGTTTTCGGCTTACTCGCGTAATTATATGACGAGGAACTCGACTGGAGCTGTTACTGTCGCGCTGCTACAGTCGCTGCGTCAAGTGTCGCGGAATGCTGCTCATGAATATGAGCCTCTAACTAATAACTTGAAATTAGTCGAGTTCCTCGTCAAAAAATTACGTGAGTTAGCCAAAAAACATAATGATTAATTTAGTATAAATCTGAAAGGGATTATTGTTTAGAGTTATTCAGTCAGATCTTAGTAGAAAGTAGTTCGACACTAAGTAGTGATGACATTTTCTAACTGGAGTAGGTAATTAAATGTATTAAATTTTATATTTTCCAGACTGAAACCCACCCAATGGAATCGCCTCCTAAGAGGCTCGCCACAGAGGAATCAGTGAAAGGAAGGAAGTCCTTCAAAGACACAGTGCGCGCCAGGTGAATATTTATTTATAATTCACTAAAACCCTATATCTAGACAAGAGTTAATACAATATTGATTATGATCAAATCCAATCCGTGCTTCAAAATTAGGCTCTGGCTAAGATTAGTGCGAAGACTGGATCGACTTTCGCTGATAAAATTAACACGCTACAATTTTTGCATATTATATTCTGCACAGTTGGCGCGGTAGCTGGGCAGCTGGCTACCGCGCAACGTGTGGCGGGTTCATTCCCTCACGGAGGAACTCTTTGTGTGATCCACAAATTATTGTTCCGGGCCTGGGTGTCATGTGTATGTGAACTTGTATGTTTGTAAACACACCCACGACACACGAGAAAATTCAATTGTGGGGCAATGTTTAAAAAACACCTGCAGACGTATAATAAAACATTTAAATAAGAAATAACAATAAAATTACGTTAACAAATAAAAAATACTAAGACTTCATTTCGAAGACATCGTGGTATCTTGCTAATAAAACTTCTCTACTTAATTCCTTCCAGACGCTCCCTCTCTCTATCCGTGAACAGCAGTCTGTCAGACGACCCGAATACATCTATTGAAAGCATCGCAGACATACCAGTGACTCTCATCAACCCGAGATATTCAGGCGAAAAACGACACTACCACTCGTACAATAAGGAACAAGATTTTGAACACACCGTTATCGAGAGTGTGTCTGAATCTCAAATGACGGAAACTGCCGAAGTGTCCCGAGAAGTGCCGAAGACGCCGCGAGGGAGACGGGGTATTAGAGCCAGTGGGGGGGAAAGCACGCCGCTTAGGACGTGAGTTTATTGCTTGTATTTACTATAATAATTATGTATTAAATTCATTGACTGCCTCGTTGGCCGAGTGGTCGCAAGTGCTACTGCCTGGCAAGGGGTCTTGGGTTCGATTCCCGGGTCGGGCAAAGTATTACTTGGTTTTAAAAAAAAGTCTCAGTATTAGCACAGAGTCTGGAAATGGCAATAGGCTCACCCCCTATTATATGGGACTCATAACATAAATAGCGAAAAGCACGTGTTACATTGTACAGTGGCATTAAGTGCCGTAACGTGCACCTCTGCCTACGCCTTTTGAGATAAAAGGCATGATGTTATGTAGGCATTATATTAATCATCTGTATGCTGATTATTCTCCAATTATTGCTGTGAATTGAATATGATACGTGCAAAATTTGGTCCAATATGAATAAGTTAACTGTAATCCACTAGTCAATGTTAACATCAAATTAATATTATTATTTTATATTATTACAGAAGTCGCAATGTGACTCCAGAACGAGTAGATTCTCCTGTCGCTACCTCATTGCGCGGTTCCAGAATAACCAGGTGACTGAAGTCTTTATATGTTTTACTAGATACTTCGCGCTGTTTTATCCGATTTGCTCGGCTCCTATTGGCCGCAGCGTGGTGTTTTGTAGCCTATAGCCTTCCTCGATAAATGCACTATCCAACACAAGAAGAATTTTTCAAATCGGACCAGTAGCTCCTGAAATTAATGCGTTGAAAGAAATAAATACTGCAGTTTAATATAATAGTATTAGATTATTTTTATGCACTAACCTAACACCATAACATAACATCACGCCTTTTACCCCCGAAGGGGTAGGCAGAGGTGCACATTATGCTACTGTACAATGTAACACTCACTTTTCACTATTTATGTTATGAGTTCCATGTAATAGGGGGTGAGCCTATTGCCATTTACCGGGCACAATTCCAGACTCCGTGCTACTACTGAGATTTTTTTAAAACCTAGTAATAGTTTGCTCGACCCGGTAATCGAACCCGAGACCCTTTGCCCGGCCAGTCGCACTTGCGACCACTCGGCCAATGAGGCAGGCACTAACCTAACATTCATTTCATTTAGCATTTTAAAGGAATCTCTTAAACATATTTTTTTGGTTTTCCCCCAGGAGTAGATCTCGTACTCCAGAGCTGAGCCCCCGTACTTCCCCCCTGGCCCCAATCCCCGAGCTGCCCCGCCATGAAGCCCACAGTGAACCTCATGCTGAGAAAACTACTCTTAGCATCCCGAGACGACTCAGGTACGCTAGTCATGCTACTTCTGTATTTCTTCTGACTTGTTTGCAATAGAGTTTTGGGGGTCTAGTGCTTCGGAAAGTTGATTAGATTTAGAAGGTTAAAAAGGTTCTTTAATAAAATATAATCTTATGTACATTTATGCATTGAGAAACCTATGACATGCGAAAAACAAAAGACTTGACAGATTTTATTGGAAGAAGAAAACACTAAAGAAAAGAGGTGGGCTATGTAATAGTAAAAAGTATGAATATGGGCAAGGTATAGATAGAATAATGAAATGTAGTTATATTGATGTATTAAACTCTAAATACCACCTACAGGAGTAGATCCCGAACACCAGATCGTGTAGATAAACCAGTGTCGGAGTCTCCAAAACTGGAAGCCATCACAGAGTCCCCGACCAAGTCTACTAACACTGAGTCGTCATCATCTTCCTCGCCCACACCACGTAGTCTAAGGTAATAATAAAATTACAAACATCGTAATTTTTATTGGCGCTTTTTTAAGTAATACCTTATTTTACTAACATTTAAATGTTTCTGTATCTTAAGCCGAAGTGCCGAACTGCCAAAGTGCTGCTAATTTTGAAACTGTACTTAAATATCGTGTTATCTCTTTCAATTTATGAAGTACTAGCTTCTGCCCGCGACTGCGTACGCGTAATCCCATTTTTTCCCGTCCCCGTTCGTGATTTTCGGTAAAAAGTAAAAAAGAAGTATTGGTTAAAAAGTCCTATGAAAAAAAGTCATATCCTATGTCGGTCTCCTGGCTTTAAGCTACCTCCCTACCAATTTTCAGCCAAATCTGTTCTGCCGTTCTTGCGTTATAAGTGGTATAACTAACACGACTTTCTTTTATATTATATAGATTAATAGATTAATAGAGAGACGGAAACATTTTTGAGAGCGTTTTTGGGTGCTGCTTGTGCATTTCAATAGACAACTAAATGACTGTTATTAATATTTATCCTCCATCTTAATGGTTTTTCATTTGTCTACAGGAGCCGTTCACGAACTCCAGAAATAGAAGTGGTGCAAGAAATAGTAGCCAAGTCGTCACCACGCAGTCTGAGGTACGTTTTGTAAAGACTAGATAAACTCCAATAATATTAATGACTGTAGAAAACGGATTGAGAGAATAAATTAGAAGATAAATGTCTCAAACTGACTACTTCGATATCCAGCATCAATTATTCATGTTTCTTTCTCGTTATAGGAGTCGCTCCAAAACACCAGAAAGGCAAATGTCACCCAAAATAGAATCGCCAGCACGAAGCAAGCAAGCAAAGCCGTCCCTATCTCGCAAGGCTTTCGAAAACATCTTATCAGCTAAAGTGAAGCAAGCTGATAAAATGGACGCAGATAGCCTTGAGGATAAACCAGAAATATCTATCGAATGCACTCCAATGAAGCCATCGAAACAAGTTCCTAACTTAATGGACGTCACCCTCTCTCCTATAGTCAATAAGTCAGTACTACAGAGTTCCACTGACTCCACAATACTAGAAACTGTCGAAAAAGAGGTCAAGACTGACAAAAGTGTGTTGGAAACTGACCTTAAACCGTTCCCAGCATTCACAACACTCCACGAAACTTGCATCGAGAAATCTGTTCTACACAGCTACCAAAGCAGTGTAGCAGAAATAACGGATACTTCAATTAATATTCGTGAAGAAAAAGTTGTTGTGGAAAAGAGCGAGATGAGTGTCTTAAAACCTTTACCGGCGTTCACTTTGAACGAAACCGAGTTTGACAAATCAGTACTAAAAAGCTATCAAAGTAGTGTGGCCGACGAATCGAGCGTTCAAGAAGAAAAAGAAACACAACAAGCTGATAACAATACGTCCAAACCGTTTGCTGCCTTCGTGCAAATGATACAAACTGATTTTGAGAACTCAGTTCTACATAGTGCAGAAAGCAGTGTCGCTGAAGCGTCCCAATTAAAGGACGATTCTAAAGTCCAAGAAGCGTCAAGTCTCATGACAAATGATAGTGACGCTGATATGGATATGGAGGAAAATGTAGATAATAAGAAATCTGCAGCAGAACAGAAAGAGAAAGAGAAGATAGTGGAGATTGAGAGGGAGATAGGTGAGATTCAGGATATGTCTGACGAGGATGAACAAGATGCTAGTGAGAGTTCTGGGGAAGAGGGAGAAGATGATGGTGAATCAGGCAGTGAGGCATCTGATGATGAGATTGAGGTAAGGGAACAGAATTATCTACTCTAGACTTATTTAATCACTTGATATGAATCCCTAAAATTTGTTCATACAAAAGTATTCATACAAAATAAGGTCTATACCTTATTTCCGATTTTTAGAGACTACTAACTACTACTAACTCGATTATAGAATCGAGTTGGTGGAGAACGGTCACCGGTGACTGGTTGGGGATTGATCAGTTAAATGCTATTGATATTTATTTAAAGTCGCGGGCAGAAGCTAATAGATCTTCTGCCCGCGACGTCGTAAGCGCAATCCTGTTTGCTTCCGTTCCCGTACGATTTTCAGGATTTTTTCTGTCTTATGAACCTTCTCCTAATAATAACAAATATAACACAAACGAATTAGTGAAATCAGTCCAGATATAAAAGAACGTCAACAATCGGTAGCAGTTCACTAGTGGACTATGGACCCCCTCAACATGAGACGGTTTGTCATGATCACCACACTTGACTGGCGAGTTCAAGTTCGCAGTTTATTCTGATTTTATGGGATAAACGAGCAGACGAATCACCTGATGGTAAGCAATCAGCGTCGCTTATGAAAACACCAGAGATATTACAAGTGCGTTACCGGCCTTTTGGGACTAATCCTCAAATTCTTAGGAATTAGAGGATAAGTCCCAAAAGGCTAATTCCTAAGAATTTGAGGATTATTGGAATTAAGGGATTGTGGAGATTGGGAGGTAATTAGGCCTACGGTGGCTCTGTTTTAGCCATGGTCGTCCCACTGCAGGGCAAAGGCTTCCCTACCCTCCTTCCACTCGTCTCATCTTACAGCTTTCTGCTTTCTGTGGCTCTGATCATTTGAGATAATAAAGATATTACGGATTCATAGTAAAATTAATCATTTTGACCTACAGCAAATTCCTTTGCCTGAAAATGAGGAACTGTCGAAAGCAAAAGACGTTACAACAAACGACGGTAAAATATGTGTCACACTCAACGCGGTAATTTGATAGTTATTCATCCATGGGATTGTAATTAATAGTAGACAATATTTGCATGTAAATATTTTTTTTGTAGTAGAAAATAGTAATCGTAAACGTTATATTGTAGTTTAAATGTACTTGTAGTGATCTAGTAATAGTGATCTTGTGTTAATAGGTGATGTGACTACAACATACAAAACTGATAATACAGGGTGACTTGTAACTCGACGTATTCCTTTTTGATATCGGTCAGAAGATAACGAACTAACTGTTTGTTGAACTAACTAAAAATTTGTTGCGCTTATAGTTTCTTAATTATTTAACAAAAATATTTCCTGCTGGGGTAACGTTACCCCAGCCAGATCTTTTTCTTTCTAATGGGAATATTTAAATAATTACTAGCTATAAAATTAGTTGTCTAGATGAAGTAAATGTTGGGCCTTATTTTGTATTTGTTCTTTCATCGGTTGCAAAGTTTTTCAAGATTCTGCTGGGGTAACGTTTTTGGTTTTGCTATATCTTTGAAATGCTTAAGCGGATTCTTATCATATTTTGTACATGGTTTCTTCAAATATTTTCATTAGAAAGAAAAAGATGTGGCTGGGGTAACGTTACCCCCGTTATTAAAAAACTACAAGTGCAACAAATTTTAAAATGTGCGCAACAATTACAGAAGCCGCACAACTAATTATCTATAAGATTCAAATGACCATTTTCGATAACATCTGGCCTGGGTAACGCACTCGAACTAACTAGAAAACACTCAATAAGTGGACCCTGTATGATAAAATATCAGTTTTACCGCTGCTTGTTAGATCTAGGATATCTTTAAATAGACCTATGTTTATTGTAGACCATTCGTTTTGTATTTTAGCATTAAAATTCATTAGACGTCCATATATCCGTAGTCTGTTATTGTGGTTTGCATTTTTTTGTTTATGTAGATGAAAGTCTACTCAATTTTATGTTGCATTTAAGTATCTGTCTGTCTCTGTCGGGTTATTTTAAATTTAAACAGAAGTCTCCACATTAAATAGGTTTATTCACAAAATAGTATCAAGACCAGCGGCGCACCGACACAAAGAAATGCCCGAAAGTTTTGGCGTGAGTTAGCGGAGTGTGTGGATGAAGAAGCGCGGCGCTCGCGCGTTCGTGGGTTTTTATACCCCCGTCCCGCGCGTCGCCGCCTCTATGGTTTATGGCCATATTAATGCGCCGACAATAGTTCTGTTACTACAAATTCTTTGTAAAATGACAGAGATGGCACGATATTTAGGTACAACTTAATATTGAGTCGCTTTCAGTATTCGGGTTTAAGAACCATAACTAAACTGCCTGCCTGCCTCATTGGCCGACTGGTGGGTTCCATTCCCTGGTCAGGCAAAGTATTACAGGGTTTTAAAAAAAATCTCAGTAGTACTTTGGATTCTGGAATTGTGCTCGGTATATGGCAATAGGCTCACCCCCTATTACATAACATAAATAATGAAAAGTGGGTATTAAATTATACAGCGGCATTAAGTGCCCTAATGTGCACCTCTATCTACCCTTTCGGAGATAATAGGCGGGATGTTATGATATGTAATGAACTAACCACTATTATTCAAACCACAAACTGAAAGCGGAATAGCTCTTTTTTAATAACCTTTAATAAGTATTGTTAAAACATTTCAGTCAAGTACATCAAACGAAAGAATAGAAGAAAACGACGAAGTTATTTCTATAGAAGATTCGGACGATTCTAGCGATAAACTACAAATTGATGAGAAATCTAAAGACAGTCGGAAATCTGAAGACCGGAATGTTAATATTGAAACACAAGATAAAGGAACAGTACAAGATGAAATTATTAGTGAAGATGTTCTTCAAGTCGAAAGTACGGATAAGTTCAATCAGGCTAACTTCTCTCTTATGACTGATGATAATTCTATTGCGTCTGATAAATCCGATTTGAACTTGAACTATTCTGGTGAGAGTGGGAAGACTAATGTTAGTGATGTGAAGGTGGAGGCTGTCGAAAAAGGTGAGAAGTGTATTTATATTATAACTGTCGTGAGATATACTAAATAGATTATTATGTTTTTCGGCTTACTCACGTCACTGTTTGACAAGGAACTCGACTAGTTTCAAGCCGTGCTAGAGGCTCATATTCATGAGGTGCATACCGCGCTCGCTGTGTCACACTCCAGACCCGCAACATTGTGTTATTGTTTGGTGCATAGATTATTTGTTCTGATTTTATCTCTGAAGGAAGGAAATAAGGTTCATTTAATATTCTCATTCCTTAGTGCAAAATACTTTGTTTTATAATGTATTATTGATTATATGGTTGTCGTAGTAATTTTGCTTTTTTATTTCCTTCCATACAAATCTAAACTTTTAAAATAATATAATCATTATAATTTTAAATTAACTTAATAGAACAGTACTACTTATTCAACGCCACACCTCATTTTATCTAACATCAATAATTGCATTTAAACATTATTTTTCCCTCAGAACCAATCGTCGAATTGGAAGTTAGATCTTCAGAAAACAAAGAGAAAGAACCCACACCTGAACCAACTAAAGTAGACAGCACAACACAAGCTGAAACTCCAAACGATGTAGACGTAGAAATCATAGAGATCGAACAAGAACCAACAAGCGATAAAGCAAAGGAATCAGAAAAGGATGAGAACATCCCAGAAACAGTAACTGAAGTAGTAGAAGTTGTAGAAGTTCCTATTGTCACTAAAGTACCAGAAACAACTGAACAAGAAACAAAAGACATACAAAAAGAAACCGAAGAAGAGAAATCAGAAGAACAGGCAGTAGAAAAAGATGTAGGACAACCAACGCGTTCTAGGAAACGTGGTAAGTCTACGTCATCAAACATATCTGCTACAGAAGAGATACCTTCAATAGATACTGAGGTTAAAACTCCAGCAACAAGAAAACGTACTCAATCAACAGCCTCAAACAAGTCTATGGACGCAGAGCAAAAAACTCCTGAAAGCACCAAGTCTGAAGTAACAACGCCGTCAAGACGACGAGCGAAAACACCAACCAGCGCCGAAGTTAGGAAAATTATCACTAGAAGGGTTTCAAGAGAGATGTCGGAAAAACACGATGAGTCAAAAGCCTTAGACGAATCTATCTCCACCCCTAAAAGACGCTCCAATCGGTCCCGAAGCAAAAACTTTGATGACAATGAAAGCGTTGCCTCTGAAAGTTCTATAGCCTCAATTAGAAGTAAGGCCAGTGAAGATGCCGGTGATAGGGCTGTTAGGAAAGGCCGTAAGTCCGTCCTCGCTAGTAAGCCTGAACTGTCTGTGATACCCGAAGTGACTGTTGAGGATAACTCCAAAATGGAAACTGAGAATGTTATCAGCGAATATTCTAGTGCTAGAAGGTAAGATATTTGTTGAGATACCTCAACCTATTTCTTAGTTTAGGAAAACATTATAGTTGTTAGTGTATGTTTGTATTATAACTGTACGTAAATGTGTCCGTTACCCAGGCCAGATGTTGTCGAAAATGGTCATTTGAATCTTATAGATAATTAGTTGTGCGACTTCTGTAATTGTTGCGCACATTTTTAAATTATGTTGCGCTCATAGTTTTTTAACACCGCGCGCATCAAGACCGTGCCCGTGAAGAACTCAATATCATCATAACTTGTTAAATATTTACAGGATACTAATGAAACTTCACATACATTTAAAGGCAGTCACAGGCTTTAAAATAACGTTTAAAGTAAGTCTTTAAAACTCTTACTGAGAGTACTGGGACCAATTAAAGTGTTTTTCTATTTAATGAAATAACCTCTAAGCTATGTATTATTTGAGTTTTTTAATTGCAGATCAAATTTACACTAATTCCTATGAAGCCATGTACAAAATATGATAAGAATCCGCTTAAGTATTTCAAAGATCTAGCAAAACCAAAATGTTGCCCCAGCAAAGCCTCGAATAACTTCCCAACCGATGAAAGAACAAATACAAAATAAGGCAAACTTTTACTTCATCTAGACAACTAATTTTATAGCTCGTAATTATTTAAATATTCCCATTAGAAAGAAAAAAGGTCTGGCTGGGGTAACGGTATCCCAGCAGGAAATGTTTCTGTAAAATAATTAAAAACCTATTAGCGCAACAAATTAAAAATGTGCGCAACAATTACAGAAGCCCCACAATTAATTATCTATAATATTCAAATGACCATTTTCGACAACATCTGGCCTGAGTAACGCACACCACTTTTTTGCCTTCTTTTCTATCATCAGTATCTGAATTTACTTAAAAAATGTATTTTAAATTCAGACATTACTTTTGTATTGCGAAATTTGGTACCCGTTAGCATTCTTTCAACTATTTGTTAAAATTTGAAATCACACGTTTCTGTCTCCACTTTTGGCATACTTTTATATTCTCTCGAACAACACTTATAAGTATTGACCTGGCAAATTGTAATTATTTATCTTCTATCTCCAGACTGACTCGCCACCAAAAAGCGGTGCTAGAATCGTGGCTAGAACCTCAACCACACGCTTCACCTCGTCGTCGTTTGAGCACAGCGTCGCGTACGTCACGTACGTCACATACGTCACGCTCGGTCGCCTCGGAGGCGGACGATGATGACGCCTCGTCGACTCACTCGGCCGCCTTCGATGTCCAACCTATTGATAGAATCAGTTTACTTAATAAAACTGACTTTGAAGGTATGTAGATGCTTAAGAATAATTAAAATGAGTATAAATATTGTTTAGACACTTATTAAATCACTGTTTTTGTTAGTAAGCTATTTTAAAGCATTTGTTAATTGACGTTACAACTCTATAAACAATTTCTTTTTAAGAACTATTCTATACGCATAGTTCACCTATTTAGAAAAATGCACCCTGCTATTGTAGCATGTTTTAATTTGCAAATTATATTGTACTCTTAGATATTTACACTAATTTCGTTTATAAGATATGCACATACAATGCATGGAAAAATTATGCCAATCTACGCTAAACTTACCTTTACTTCTCTACCAAGAGGACTGTGTGAGTGGGACGCCAATAATATAATAATATAATAGGTGAAAGAGACCACCTATATGCTACAACAGTTTTACTATTGCACTATTATATTCGTTAGTTCATGGAAGAGCAATATTCACTTCTCACTCTAAAACTATACGTGTGAGCGAGAGGCATATAACCCAAGAATATTATTTCCACTGAACTTTGAACCAACAAGATGAGATATTATGTTAAATTTATAAAGTCCGCTCTGATTGATTGACGCGGTTTTATACTTGGCACTTAAAACTCAACTATTACAATAAAGTACAACTTTGTCTAACAATATTATTTATGTCTTCTCTGCATGGCCCTTTGTTGACCATAATGTATAGAAAAAAATATTGATCAATAAAAACTCAACTAAAACGCCAAAGACATAAAGCATAAAATTATCTAATATTCATATCTCCTCTTGTTGATTATCCACCCTATTTATTATGCATGTATAAAATATTAACTAGCGAAGTACTAACGCTTGACTAGGCTCGACGGATCTCGACGAAATGCAGACCAATCTGTCGCCAGAGTCTCTCGCGTCAGACGCCAGCAAACAGCGCAGAGGTATGTACCGCTTTGTAATGCTTTGAACCAGCCTTAGAGTAACACACAGTGTGCATGGACTTGTAGAAAAGTTCTTTAAGTGATCTGCATGAAGTCCTATTCTATTGTAGTGATTATATGAGTAAGTTATCTATTAGACATAAAAATAAGGACTTATAAAAAATAAACTGATTTTTATTTGACAAAAATCATATTTTTATTGGCTATGTGCGCGACGGTGGCGACGCGTAGCGTTTACAACATTTGCCGTAGCTGTCAAATAATAACAATGTAGACATTATATTTTTTTGCAAATATAAATAAAACCAAAGATTTTGTTGACATTATTTAAGTGCAATTTATTCTAAAATAGTTTTACTGGAAAATGAATATAATAATAAAAACCGGGTTTGCATCATCCGTATTTGTTTCCAATTTCTGCCGTGTTGTGCGCTGCGGTCGTTATCTGTCCGCCACTACTCGCTTTGCACGTAGCCAATACGGTCTCTAACTGTTTTTTTTTTTCATATAAGGGCGCGTCTGGTGAATTTTCCGCGAATGTGTAGCTTGCGAGCTTCTCACATGCAGTCACAACAATAGTTTTTTCTCTTTAGTGCAACTCATGCAAGGCTCGTCTAAGTAATAATTTTAAATGCACGCGGGCAATTAGTAAACGGCTCTCGATTTGCAATTTGGCGGAGCATTCGCCAGATGTGGACACACCCTTAGAATAAGAAATAATAATGATAATAATTTATTTATATCAGACTAGATTGTCCAGAGTGTTAGAGTAATACAATTTAACTTAATGCGTCGAAATCATTAGAGACGATTTCAAAAATACCAGATTCTCAAAAATCCAGTACCAGATACTCAAAAATTTTAAAATTTTAATCAATGTTGTTTTGTATCCACATGAGGTGTGCGTTACCCAGGCCAGGTGTTATAGAAAATGGTAATTTGAATCTTAGGTAATTAGTGGTGTGGCTTCTGTAATTGCTGCGCACATTTTTAATTGAAAAACTATAAGCGCAACAAGCGCTTATAGTTTTTCAATTATTTCACAAAAACATTTCCAGTCAAAGTCAAAAGTCAAAGCATTTATTTCAATTAAACCATAATTTGGTACTTTTGAAACATCAACAAATACTAAATAAATAATAGTCTGTCAGTCAGTCCGTCAGTGAGGCTAGGTGCCCATTCCAAAATGTAGATTCGAATGGAGAAGAACGAGCAAGAAACTCCATTCGTTACTCTTTTTTAAAACGTATGTTCTACAATGTCTCTGATACATATCCCAATACTGTCCGCATATGTGAGAACAATGCAAAGACACCCTTGACGCATTATAGGTACTAGTTACAAACCGTACTAAAAAATAAAAAAATCTTTAGTCTAACATGGTCCTCACATATGCATAATAATAATATAAACATAAC